CCTAGAATTGCATTGGATTTTTTAGCTGCTGCATCACACTGTTAACTCATGTTTAGCGAGTGGTCTACTAAGACCCCTAGATCCTTTTCACATGTACAGCTTTCTAGCCAGGTGTTACCTGTCCTATATTTGTGCATGTCATTTTTCCTGCCTAGATGTAGCACCTTACATTTGTGTGGTTGTGTGCCTTCAAGTCGTTTCCAGTTTATGGAGACCCTAAGGTGATCCTACCATGTGGTTTCCTTGGCAAGATTTGTTCGGGAGGGGCGTTGCCTTTGCCTTCCTCTGAGGCTGAAAGAGTGTGACTTGCCCAAGTCTTACCATGAGGATTCGAACCCTAATCCCCAGAGTTGTAGTTCAGCACTCAAAGCACCACACTGTGTTGGCTCTTCCCTTCCATTTCTCCTTGTTGAATATGACAACCTTCTGGTAGAAAAATAATTCTTTTTGAGATGGTTTGGGACAAGGGCTAGAGACCTTTCCACCTTCAACAGCATCCTCTCATTTGACAGAAAAGGAGGTCTTAAAAATGTCCAGATCTTCAGTGGGGTAAGGGCTAGGTGTTGGAAAACGCTTGCCACTCTTTCCTCTTTGACTTTCAGATCTGCTCTTTGTATTTTCTCTCTCTGATGCAGAATGATTTCTATTATCCTCAGGGGGGAAGAAAAGAAATATCTTTAATTAATTTGATAAATTCCTACGAGTTCCTGCCTCACAAAGCTCCCATCTCTCTCCCCAAATAAAGGCTCAGCCCAGTGGAATCTCTGCCTGCTGTGCTTTGCAGGCACAGGAACATATTTCAAGCAGCTTCCCTGTTGGAGCATTTTAATGGGCCGAGCAAATGGAAACCTTGGGAGAAATCAAAGGGACAAAAATAATCAGTGTGGCTATTTTCTTCCCCAAAAGGAGAGCAAGAGAAAGGACTCAAACTCGCACCTTTGACAACGGTGGAGAAATGGCACAAGCGATTTTTTAAAAAAAAACCTCCCCGGTCTTCGCTTTATATTCCCATCCCTTAAAAAATGGAAACAGAAAAATAGTCTTTGCAAAATCTTAAAGAAAGAAACTGATTTCTGCTCAAGCCCAGTTTAGGAGTGGGAAAAGAATTTATCAGCGGTGCTATTGTGTTGTGCGAGTTTGCCCACTTTATAATTTCTTGCCATTTGCTCTGATTTATGCCATTTTCTTGGGATGAATTCTTCAGAATAGGTTTGGCATTGCCTTTTGCTTAGGCAGAAAGGATGTGATTTGCCTAAGGTTATTCAGGCTGCTGCCGCATTGCAGAAATGAAGCAGCTTGACACCACTTTAATAGCAATGGTTCAATGCTAAGGAATTCTGAGATTTGTAGTCTCATGGGATGCCAGAGCTCTCTGACAGGGAAGGCTAAATACCTCACAAAACTACAGATCCTAGAATCCCATAGCACTGAGTCATGTCCATTAAACTGGTGTCAAACTGCTTTATTTCTGCAGTGTGGCAGCCACCTCAGTGGGTTTCCATGGCTGAGCAAGGATTCAAACCCTGGTTTCCTGGTAGTTTAACCCTCAAACCTCAAAATGCTGGGTCTTTAAAGAGAATTTTCTTGGCATCTACACTCTAGAAATGCAGTTTGAAGTCACTTTAAGCGCTGTACCTCCAGCCTATGCAATCCTGGGGTTTGTTATATGACAAGGTCTTTCACCTTCTCTGCCAAAGGGTGCTCGTGCCTCACAAAACTACAAATCCCAGGATTCCAGAGGATGGAGCCATGGCACTTCAAGTGG